GGGAAAAGGGTAAGATTTGTCTTCTCCCCAGCACGCCTTTATTTAATTTCCATTGCTCTCTGGTTTGGTTATGTTTCTGAACTCTTGATTAGCCAGTCAACAGTACTGTCATGTCATCACCGCTGTCATACTGCATGTCATTTATCTGGGGCTGTGTTCTGACTCATTTTTTCCTTTCAATTTTAACTCCCCACTGAACTAAAGTTTCACCATTGTCAGTTCATTTTAAGCGTTAAGAGATATTATTCTGCAGAACAGCATTGATTTTTATGATTCACCAAAATTTTAAATTAAAAAAAAATGTACTGTTAGAGAATTTTAGTGAGAGGAAGATAAAATAAAGTTTTTATGTAACATTATCAGCCCTTAGTTCACTGTGCTAATAGTATACAGAAGAAAGGACAGCTATTTGTGATGGCTTGTTACAAATGTTACTTAATTTTGTAAAATCAACACTAGTACAGTTTGAAAATAAATAACTTTAATATGGAAACAAAACATATACATTCTCATATTTCAGAAAAATAGGCAAACTCTTCCTTTTGTTTGCATTCCTAGAAGTTACACTACTTTGTGAGTTTTGATGGAGATGGTTTGCTGCTCCTCCCCTGTCCACAATGCTGTAATAGAATTTTTAGCCTTTCTGATTCTTTGTGTATGATTTTGTTTCTTGCTGTCTTAAAAATTAAGTCCAAGATGGTTGAACGTGTAAAATGTCACCACAAGCAGTACAGCACGCCTTGTTACTGAAGACAATTTTGAAATGCTCCTTCATTTCAGTGGTATGTCAGGTTTACCACTCCAAAGCATGGTGTAAATCCCTTAATTAAACAACGCCATCAGAATATGGAATCATATCATGCTGCAGTAATCGTGGAGGACAATCTGCTCTCATGGCCTCCTGCTCTTCTCCTACATTAAATTAAACTCTGCATTGGACAGGGTTGCAAACAGATTGCAGGGGGGATCACTTACAACCTCTCTGCTGCAGACCAGGCCCTGTTCCTCTTGAGTCAAGTGGAAGCCACATTGCTCCAGTTGAGCTTATTGAGCTGCCTCTTTTCTTTTCTTGTTGCTACTGTTTTTGGAATATGACTTGCTGTTCTTCAAGAAAGACAGATTGTGTTTAAATAGTCAGTTGTGCATTAAAAAGCAAAATGATCCGGGACAAAGAGCGGGTATGGAATTGTTTTCAGATTTTCAAGTCTGTTCTTTTCACTTTTCTAGACCCTTTAAAACTAGATGTGCCTGAAGAGAAGAGTACAGCATCACAGCAACAGCAAAGTACATCTAAAAACGTTACTGAGGAAGAGCTTGAAGATTGGCTGGACAGCATGATTTCCTGAAGCTCAAATTTTCGTATGTGAATAATTTAACATCGCAAACATTAAGCAGAAAGTTGACTCTTTCTCCTCGTTATTTCCTTTATCTGTTTCACTTTGTTCAGTATGTCAAATGCCTGGTTTTCTTTGCGGGCCTCTCAAATTCTGTGCGACCAAAATTAATCTAGATGTGGTTGAAAATTGTCTAAGACTAATATTCTTAGAAAGGTCTAAAATTTATGATGAAATTAGGATTTTCTTTGCTAAAGATGCAGGCTACAGCACACTACGAGAACAGTTATTTCAGCTTGTACTTGCTGTTTGTCCTTAAAATAAAGCTATGAATGAGCAATGAATACATGTGGTTTTAGTCACCATCCTCATGTCATATCTCCTCCATATTGTAGAAACATAAGAAAGAAGAGAGCAAAGGTAATATTTGATTTATAATGCTTTATTGCAGTGGGCACTTTTTATTAGAAGAAAAAAAATGCATAATCCTAGCAGCTTCTACTTGCGGGTGACCATAGAGCATTGTTTTATTTTGGCCTAAGATTTAAATTGTATTCATTTCGATACAATGTATGATATCTTCTAACAGCAGCATCTAATAAGCTGTTATTGAAGGTAGTATATAAACAAACTTCAAGTGCAATTTCATACAGAAAGACAGAAAAGCAGTACAGTGAATGGATCTGTTCATGTAGAACACTAACATAAATAAAAACTTTGCATAGCTATGTCTACAGAGGTTTTAAGGCACTTAATGTTTCAAGGTCAACAGAGTGTTTGAAAATGTTTTCTTTTTAACTGCTTAAAGCTTTTCAAGCTGTATCTTAACACATTCACTAGCAAATACTAGGGGGAAAAACTGGACAGCAGTTAGTGGAAATATTTTTTCTGAGGCATAGCCTCTGATGTTCAAGTTCTTAATGTCAAATGTGCAGTTAAGACACCTTTTAGCCCTTTCAACTGTACTGCCAAACACTAGGTCAACGATGTGGTTCAAAAGTTGTTACAATTTCAGACCATGTTTGAGCTGGAAGGCTTAAGTTAATCTGGCATAGTTTTCTCTTTTCTAATTAAAATTCCAACAGAAGACCTTTTCCTATGTGGTAGGTACAAAACCTATGAAATAGTGTCAAATTTTATGTACGTCTTGAAGTTTAAAGACATTTAAAGCAAATACAAGCTGTGAAATTACACCATGAAAAGAAAAGAAGTTTTTTTGTATACTGGATCTTAACAGTTCATGAATAAATAATTTCTTTTGTGATATTAGCCAAGTTGATCCTCATACTGTTTCCGGAAGCAGTCCCCTGCTGGGAAGAAGTCCCAACATCTTTCTTGGTACATCTTCCACACGAATGACTCCTGAAAATGACAAAGAATATTTATTTTAACAGACACCTTGCTGCTAGTGCTCTTGATAAACTTTTCACAATAACCAGGTACTGTGACTATTACCATGGAGTAGAACTGTGAAGACACTGAAACTCAAAGATTGTAACTCAAGAACGTTTGCAAAATTATTGTTCTGCACTTTTCTTCATTCAGTACTACTGAAATTTAAGCCTTAGTAGAGAAACTGTTTGTGTAAATTAATCAGTCGAGTTATATCAGAGCAAACCTGTACACAATCTCTCTATATAAAATGTGTTTTAGTTTGCTTGGAAAACATTGAAGTATAAGGTACTTTTGTAGAGTTTGCATAACAGCTTCTTATTTGAGATAAGATATAATTAAATTATCTTTATTTTCTTATTTGTTTACATTTAGGGCCTAACAACACTAAACATCCATACGCACATCCATATACCTATCTGTATATCTATGTATGGATTTAGACTATAAATATAGTAGCTAAACTAGTTTATTCCCAAAAGATTAATAACTGGTATATTTCAGGGTTTCATTTCAGAGACAAAACAACAGTAAGATTACTACTAACTGACTTCTGACCGAGTTCAGTGCTGAGTAGAATAGCACACTGCTGCAGCCCACCCTCTCCCTTTTTTTAACCCTTCCTTTTCTTTCACTTGCAGAAGACTCTTAGGGAGTGTGGTATCACCTCCACTCCTTGGTGGTACATCAGTTCCACCTGGTGGTACACAGCTAAAGGCTGGAGAAGATAAAAATGTCAAAAGATAATCTTAAAAAAAATTCAGTTTTATTTTCTACTCACCTGGCCAGTATGTTCAGTTTCATCCTTGTTAATAAGATACATTAAAAAGAACCTGAAACAAGCACATGAAGTGGGTATTAATGCAGAAAACATAACATCTCTGCCTAACCTTTCCTAGACTGGGTGTGTGAGGGAGATTATGCCAAGCATCAAAGTAACACTGTTGCTAGGCATCTGCAGTGCTTATGTTAAAGGAGAAAATTCTGTCCTCCAGCACTTCTCCTGTGGAAGTGCCAACAGACGTGAAATCTGTAGAAGTGGAAAAACATGGTTTAGCATTTTCTTCCTTTCAGCGCTAGGAGCAATACCTGAATTAGGCGTATGCCAACTCCTATGCATGTGTTCCGAAATCTCACCTCGGCAGAAGTTACTATGGCTACTATGGAAGAAGTTAGAAGCACAGCAAATACGCAGCTGCACTAAAGATTTCCAGACACTCCTGGCACACAGCTCAGCAGCTGAGCTTGTCTATGTCAGACACCTGTGCTCGCTCAAATACAGAGAGCCTGACCTGAACAGGAGGGCTGTAGAGTCCCAGCAGTGGTCTGTCTACAGGTAACACAACTCTTGGTTTGCCACTTTTGATGCAGGCCATTTGGAATTAAACTTGGGATGTGCTTTCATTGTAAAGAAAGGAATGTATACTGACTTTAACATTTGTCTAATTAAAGGGCAACTTGGTATGAAAGATTGTTCACTATATATTCTAATATTAAGGAAATGGCCATTTTTAATCTACTGTGAATTACAGGTTCCCATATACCAATTAAGCAATTCAATAAAGGAAGAAAAGCTTGGAGGTTGTAGACTGGTAAAACTATGGATGTTAATGGAAATTTGCCTCTCAAAAGTAATGTGCATTGATTTCGCAGTGTCAGTTGCTGCGTGAGGAACAATGCAGCCTCCACTCCAGCAGGCACATTTTTTTTTTTTTTAATTTATTTTAAAAGCTCAGATGCAGTACTCCAAAGCCAGACCTCTATAAGATACCACCAGTTCAGCTCCTTTGGTTCTGCTGGCACTGTGCTCATATAATTATCACTGTTGTAGGGGTAACTAATGCCACCAAATTAACTGTTAAAATATCCTTTTTGATGTGCTCTGTATTTAGTAATGACAGTAGAAGATCATCATCTTGGGGGTCTGGGCAATAGTCTCAACACAAACAACTCCTGATTGCTTCACGGTTTCAGAAAGCTGCAATATCACTAAAGAACTATAAGATCAGACTCGTACATTATATTTTGTAGCTTACCTGTCAGGAATCATCTTTTTTTTTTTTTTTTTTTTTGTCTTTTGGTGTTTTGGTTCAAGTTTTCTTTTTGTCAAATGGAGGCTAATTTTCAATGGTCTTACCAACATTACCAAGCCCCTGGAAGTCACAATCAAATCTTCCAAACTAAAGCCACTTACTAAACTGTTGTTCCCTATCATTCTGCATATCTGAGTTTTCTTCCAGAGGAATAAGGTGTTGCTGTACCTTCAGGTCTCATTCCACTAAGATATTTCATGTGTAAGGTGAGCACTTTAAAGATAACCAGCAGTGTGGAGTAGAGTAGAGGAGACTAGAAAGGAAGGGAGATACTCCTCAGTTCTACAGAATTCTGTCTTAGGGTTGTCAGCAATGTGTACACCTAAATTACTCTGAAGCTAAAAGGTCTCTTTATCATAATTCCAGTAGTAAAATATACTTACAGATAGTTTGCCAAGTTGTGTTCTTGCAAAGTATGGGTTTCAAAGCCATGTGGGGTTGTATCAAAATAGTCATTGCCGATTCCACAAATAAAACATTTGGTCTGGAAACACAAGTTGTGGTTACAAATGACTTTTAACTCAAAGACACTATTTTAACTGGTAATAACCTAGAATAAGAGTAATGAAAAATGTAATGTGCTTACTCATACCTCCATATCTTCTCTCACTTGTTCTTGCTGGTCTCTTAATTCACCAAAAGCATCAATAATCAGACCTATTTCAAATGGAGAAGTAGCAACACTGTAGTTAGCACGGTTCATATTTCAAGTAATGCTTCTCAGACATCCTACACTGTCTTTGGAGTTCAGCATACTTATATCTAGGTTGAACAATTCAAGTTTCAATCTATCAATTTCCAGACATCTAACATTTGTTTACACTGCACTCTTAGCAGTAAGAATTTCTCTTACATAGAAGCGCAATCTTGAGAGTGGAAAGGCTTGTCTGTGCTTTTATTTTGGTCAGTTTAAGCTTCCATAATCTCATCTCTTTTGTTCCCACGAAGGAATTTCATTTTCATTCTCCTTCTCGTGGAACTGTTCTATCAACAACTCTGCTCCCACAGGCCTCCCAGCCAGTTTGTGATGGTGCTTCACATTTGAAGCATTATTCCTCCACTTCTAACATATTAAGAATAGAGTTGGATCAGTTTGGGGACTGTGACGTTCAGAACTTTTTCTCAGTATAGATTGTATAGATTTTTTTATAGTATTACATTTTTTCTTTGCCACCACGGTGGCAAAATGGCGTTTTTTCCTAAAAGCCTTCCGTCAGTTTATAATAAGTATTGAATACTGACAGTCGTTGAAGAGAAGTCTTGTTCTCTGTAAACCACAACTGCAAACCAGTTAAAACTGAAAATCATCCTCTAAAGAAAGGAGGAAACAGGTATGTGGCATTGGTGACTTTCTCCATGTCATTTCCCCTTTGCAAGGGGAAAGTCTCTATTCCCTAGCCAGCTGTAGTGGTTCCAAAATAAAGATGTGAAGAGTGCCTACAGCAAGGCTCTCCAAGTTTAAATGGTTACTACAGGAAGAACAGTGATGCTGCATCATTGCTGGAGAGTTGTCAAAGCATTCATAAG